AATTGGCCTGGGCCACCTCTCTGGGCTGGATTTCACCCTGGGCAGAACCTTGAGAATCGAAGGTAAGGGGTGGGCAGCACTCACGTAGGGGGTCACTGAGGACTTCGTTCAAGTCCACAATGCCTTTTCTGGTCATGTGTCTTCACTTGTCCTTTATCTCAGTATCTGAGGAGGAGGAGCAAGGAACTCAGGGAGAGATCCAGGAAGATATCCGACTGTGTTATAAGAGGACAGAAAAAGTGAAACGGGGAGTGAGGACACTTGCAGCAAGCAAAATGACTTCACATCTATTGCACAGAGCTGCAGGTGTGAGAGAGCCTAAGCCTGTCTCAGAGTGCAGGGGACAAGCGGAAAGGAAAGGCAAAATTTCCACTGACAATTGAAATCTTGTTAAATAGCCTGCTACTGTTGTTTGTATCACTTCAATGAGTGCAGGTGTATTTCTGTGGGAAATTACGGGTTCACTCAACCCCACCAGCCCCTCTTGCCCCCATCGGGGATGGACTTTCTCAAGCACAGTGCCCCTCCTGCTTGGGTGGGCCACGCTGCTGTTCCTCGCCTGGGGCTGGGCTGCTGCAGGGCACTGAGTCCCCGAGGCATGGCCTGTGATAAACAACAGGAATATCTCTGCTCTTGACTGGGGGCCTCCGTTTCCCCTGCAGTTTAAGAAAGCCAGTGACTGAGTTAGAAGCATGCTTCCAAGCTGTCCGTGTCCTCGGCATCCAGAAGCAGAGCCTGGAAGCTACCGAATTTCTCCAGAATGCGGACTATATTCACTTTCGGTAGGTGAGTGTATGTCGTTACACAAGTGGAGGAATTACTGCAGTTTTCCTGGAACTTTCTCACCACTAATCCATCTGATTTTTCTGTGCTAGGATTCAGTATGGCCTGCTAAAAACTCCAGAGTCAGATCTTGAAACCCTGATGAAGAAGATTATTTATTTCATTTCTCTATATGATAGACTTTTACTTTAATAATTCAGAATTTTTGGTTCTTTCAGGAATTTTTGGGGGGGTTGGAGAATCAACTTTGCTCTTGCCATCTTTGCCACCTGTTGCTTTGTGCCTCTCACCTATCTTCTGTCACTTGTGAGGCGGTTCCATTTGTGACCCTGTCCGGGTTGTTCATGTTATAAAACATAAAGTCTGTAAAAGTACAGTCCCTTTTACTCCAAAGACATTCCACAAATACTCCTTAAATTTGGGTGTGGATTTAAGAAGACAGAATCA